GGATTCTCATGACTCGTCGCCGTCCCAGGGCACCTACCGTACAGCTCCCTCTCTTGTTCATGCTCCCGATCCTCCGGTCGTTCCGGGAGTGATGAGTGTTGAGGAGTTGGTTCAACAGCCCGGTCGTGAGCGTCTTCCCTATCTCACTGAGTATCCTTCGGGACCAGGGCAAACATGGTAATTAAGAGTCTTTTTTTTTTCTTTTAGTGTTGATTGTGTTGATTCATTATTAATAATTTGGTTCTTTTTGGTAGGTTCAACCGATACGGGAACGGTATCAGCGCATGGATCAACCGGATGATGTACTCGGACCTCAAGAAGGGATATCCGACTTTCACTAACTTCCCTCTCGACGAACAGGAGATGTGGTTTCGTCAGTTTGCGGTAAGTATTCTACGTTTTAAGTTATATTTTTCATTTTTAATATTAATATTTTACTTATTGTGTTTTTTTTCAGCAAGAGTTCACCTGGCATCCCCTTCAGACGTCTTTTTTTTCCGTGACAACTTCATCCATAAAGTTATGGACAACTATGGGAAGCAGATCCATGAGTGGAAGAAGAAGTGGCGCGTCGACAAGGTACCGGTTTATTAATCTATTTTTTAAATTTGTTAACTTGTTTTTTTATTAATACTATCTTTAGATTTATTTAAATTTTTTATATTTTTTTTATTTTTAAAAGATCCCGAAGTCGATGAACGCCACGGTCTGGAAGGAGTTGTGTGAGCATTGGGAGAAAGACCAGACGGAAGCAACATCCGCCACCAACTCCACCAACCGCAAGAGCGAGCGTGGCGGGAAGGGCGTATCCAAGCACAACTTGGGTGCCAGGAGTATTGCCACTCTCGGAGATATAATGGTAAGTTGAATTCTTCTTTTTTCAATTATTTAAGTATTTTTATGTCTTTATTCTGATTTATAATGTTTTTTTTTAACTTATGTTTTTTTCTAGGCGGAAGAAAATGATGGCGAGCCGGTTGATTCGTTGAAACTGTTGAGGAAGGCGCATACCAACAAGCATACCGGGGAGATTGATGATGGTCTTGTGAAGGAGGTGGTCGACATGATCACCACTATCAAGGACGACGAAGAATTCCGTCTAACTCAGCTTCAAACCGAGATCGACTCCACTTCGACGGCTTCAGTATCCCTGTCCACAGCTCGAATCAACGAGATTGTGGAATCGGTAAGATATTTTTATAAAATTTCAATTAATTTATTTTTTATTTTCATTTTATAATCATTTCTATTATTAAAATTTTTTTTTTTCTTTCAGTCGGTTCCAAAGAAGAAGGGACGTTTGGTCGGTTTGGGTCGTCGAGCCAAATCGGTTCCTCCTTCCACATCACAACCGCCTCCTGATCCGATGGTTATGGAGCAGCTGCAGGACAAGGATAACCGCATAGCTGCGTTGGAAGCGAAGATGGCGGAACAAGAAAGGGAATGGGAGGAAACGAGGAGGGTTAACGAGCGCATGATGGAGATGATGAGGAGGATGTACCCGAACGAGCAGTTCCCGTAGTTTTTTTTTTTTGAAAACTCTGAATGTTTTTTTTTATTTGTAAAACTCTACTTTTATTTAATATATTTTCAATTTTAAATTTTATTTTGTATTTTTGAATTTTAATTAAAACAAAAATAATTTATAATTCTGCTAAAAAAATCATATTTTAGGAAATTCCGAGGAAACCAGTTCGTCGAAATTTTCCGAGGAAGAAGGCCGTCGAAAATTTCTGAGGACATGTTTCATCGGAATATTCCGAGGAACTCTTGTCCTCGGAATTTTCCGACGGCCGACTTCCTCGGAAAATTCCGACGGACACTTTCCTCGGAATGGTCGTCGGAAATTTCCGACGGAGTTTGTCCCTCGAAAATTTCCGAGGAACCCTACGTTCCTCGGAAATTTCCGACGAAACCCATTCCTCGGAATTTTCCGACGGAATATTCGTTCCTCGGAATTTCCTCGGAAATTTCCGAGGAAATTCCGAGGAGATGTGAAATTCCGAGGAGAAATTTCCGATGACCGAAGTCGTCGGTATGTCCACGGAATTTCTTAATTCCGATGACATACCGACGAAAATTTCCCTCAGAATCGCGATAATTTCTTGTAGTGATTAAAGACAAGGAACATGAGAAATTAATCAAAGAAGGAAAAGCATCAATATTCACATCGGCTTAGAGATAGCCGTATTAGTTTACAGTTTACACACAATTAACGGGTTCACAGCCAAGGGCAACTGCCAAGTGAAGACTACTGCATTCCCAACGGTTCATGTGCATCCTGCTGGGAAGTATTTAGAAGCATTTCTTAGCGGTATATAAGACTGAAGAATCGATACTAACCATCGTTGACTGGACTTTATTTTACATATTTTCTAGATTTACCAAGAATGATGGTAGAAACAGCGACAATGAGGAGTCAACGATGGTTAGTATCGATTCTTCAGACAATGAGGAGTCATATTTTCTAGATTTACATATTTTACACAATACTTACTTTATTTTACATGTTTTTGTGAGAGACTGCTATTTATAAAAGAAAAGAGAAGTTTGGAGTTAAATCTTGCCAAGAATGATGGTAGCAACCTATATTGTCACAATACTTACTGCCAATATACTACGCACTGCACAGGTAGAGAGACTCGGTGATATTAAAAAAACTGTGTTTTAATTTTGTTTTAGCTTCTACACTAAACATTTTATTATTATTATTATTTAGCCAAAATATAAAAACATTTATATTTATTTTTAAATATTTCATCAAGACACCTTTCAATTTTTTAATATTTATGAGAAACTCAAATCTATTCTGTCACTGCACATGCTCTTAGAGATATATTCGATAAGATTTTATGTGATTTTAAAAATCGCATAATCAAATATTAATATTATATATATATATATATATATATATATATATATATATATATATATATATATATATATATCTTCATGGATAGATACTTCACTACAGATACTGTAAGCATCATAAATCAATACATAATTACTCTTATCTACCTAATTCAATACATGTGCATAGTCAAAATAGAGATGTGAAATAAAAAGCGTAAGTTAATAGAAGCTGCATACAATTTAAGAAATCTCAAAATATGCTTTAAGTTGTACAATTATCCAAAAATATTTAGCTAATTAATCTAGAATGTATTTCTATAAAAATAGGTCAACCCAACCGTTATTTGTATTATCTTCTGCTCTTTGTCTTTTCTGAACTTTTGTTTACTGTTTTGTAGAGTTCAAAAAAGGGTAAAACAATAAACAAAAGCCCAGAAAAGGTAAAGAGCCGAAAACAATACAAACAACTGTTGAGAACATACTGAAAGTTAAAACTTATTTAAATTAAATTTGAGAATCTAAAGTGAGAAATTGCAGCGTATATTAGTAACTGAGAAGTGAGGAAGAGCTGGAGAAGGTATGAGTGGGTTAGGTGGTATCTGTTGAGAACACAGACAGAGTTCCATGAGAAGACATCTGTCTTGGTGACATATCTGTTGAACAAAGTAGTTTGGTTTTGTCTATCTGTGAGAACCTATCTAGGTGAGAACAGAGCTTTTTTACTCGGAAGTCGGAACGTTCACTATTCATTCATTTTGTTTTCTTTTCTCTAATCAATATTTTCAATCTCATTCTTAAACATCAATAATTCATTCTTTAATCTAATAAAAGAAATTCTCTTGGATAACTATTTTTAATTTATTTTTATAAAAAAAACTTTTTCGATGAGGAAAATAACCAAAATTAATCTTTACTAAAAAATAAATATGCATTTATACCTTAAGTTTAATTTATCTATATTTAGGGTTTAGAGTTAAAGGGTAGACTTTTAGATTTAAAGTTTCAAATTTTAAAAAATAAAAAATAAATATTACAAATTAAATAAAAAAACTAGTTTGGCCATTTCATTTTTTAAGACTACTTTTATAACAAAAATTTTGAAGAAACTATTTGAGAAAATTGACCATCTAATAAAGCTTGCAATTATAAAGAATTAACTAAGAGCATCTCTAAAAATCACTCTTTAACTTTAGATATGAATTTTTTGGTTTTCCAAAAAATAATTCTAAAACTTTAAATTTAAAGTTTTTGAATAGTGAAACTTCAAATATAGAATGTCACTATTCAAAATTTCAAATTTCAAATTTCATATTTTTATTTACATTTGGATCCTTACAATTATACATTATATTTATAATTCTTATATATTTTATGGTTTATCATTTTAACGCTTAACAACTCTTATCTCATAAATATTTCAATTTTTTTTATATAAATTTAAATTTTACACATTCTTTTTTACAAAATAACAAGATAAGATTTAAAATAGTTAAAATTAGAACTAAACAACAACAATATTAGAAGACTTAATGCGGTATTTTATTTATAGTTTAATATTTAATTATATATTTTTATTATTAATTTCATATATTAGTGTAACATTTTATCATTTATATTACTGTAATATTTTTATATATGTGCTAGACATTTATAAAACTTCTATGAATTTGAATTAGTTATGACAAATATAAAGACCATAGTATAAAATACAAATAGTTAAAAGACAACGATCAAACTCAAATGAATTCTTTTCATTTTCCTTAGTATTCCAAACAAACATTACAAAGAAGAGGCCGTGGCATGTCATCTGCACAACCTTTTGTTCTTGAACAACTGCAGATTCATCATCGTATACATATGAAAAACCTTTTTTTTTTTACCAAGTAAATAAAATTTTCAAACTACAACAATCTAAGATGAGCAGTATCATTCATTCGTTTAATCTGCCACCCATTTCTCCAAGAATGCTGTAACACCGTCACCGAAGAGTCCTCCACACAGATCTTATGAGTCATTACCGGACTGCACCCAAGTACTCCTGTCAGAAGACACTTTATAGGCAACGAATGCGTGAAAACCCCAATGCAGTTCGATACCAAGGAAGAAGAATCACTCATGTCAATGTGGTTTTGATTAACATCTTCCCTTGGGGATGATACTCCTCCATCTTCAAGCTCCTGATTGGTCATCACCTGAAGCCTGCTTTTACCAGATTTCTTCCTTGTGAGACTTGGACGATGCTTGTGAAGCAAGTCCCAGTTGGTTGAAGGAAGTGACGTTTCACTGTGATCTGACCTTAGCTTCTCTGAAAGTCCTGAGACTACTGTCCCGTTTAGAAACTGAACCATTCGGAACTCTACTTGCCTGAGTGATTCTCCTGAAGGAGCTGTGAAATCAGGCTGGCATCTTTCGATTAAGCTCAAAGTTTCAGGATTGTAAATCTCTGATTGATTGCAACCTTCCCAATCTCCTAGACTCATCTCTATAAGTGTGTCTGAGGATTGTATATGCTCCTCTGGAAAACTCATTTCCTGCAAAAAAAAACAAAACAAAGTGTGTTAAAAGGCAAAACGTTTGAGTCTTTAACTACTTAAAGCTAAACCCTTCACTAGCTTAAGACTTATCAATCTCATGTTAAGATAAAGTAAGCTCCTTTAAGCAAAAAAAAAAAAGAAGCTCCTTTAAGCAAAAAAAAAAACCTCCTTTAAGCAAGCTCACATCATTACCAAAAGTACTACTTTGAAAGAAACTAACACAAGGAGCTGTAAGAGACTATGAGCCATGTTGGTTAAGACAGCAAAAGGCAAGTAATCTGTATGACCAATGTTGATTCCAGTCTCATGTTAAGATAAAGTAAGCTCTTTTAATCAAAGCAGACATGAACAAGATAACTTCAAACATAAACACCATAAAGAGCTGTAATAAGACCATAAGTCATGTTAGTTAGGACAGCAAAAGCCAAGTAATCTCTCAGACCAATGTTGATTCTAATTTCATGTTAAAAGCTCCTTTAATCAAAGCAGACATGAACAAGATAAGTTCATATCATTCCCAAAAGTATTAACTTGAAACAAACCACCATAAGGAGCTGTAATAAGACTATAACTCATGTTAGTTAAGGCATCCAATGCTAAGTAATCTCTCACACCAATGTTGATTCTAGTTAAGACAACAAAGCTAAGTAATCTCTCTGACCAATGTTGATTCCAATTAAGACAGCAAAAGCTAAGTAATCTCTCAGACCAATGTTGGTTCCAATCTCAGACAGCCTATAGATCTTGTCCTAACATGGGATCCAAGTAGAGAGTTTATAAACCATATTTGTTAAGACAGCAACAGCCACATAAACTTTCAGACCAATGTTGGTTTCCAATCTCAGACAGCCTATAGATCTTGTCAGAAAAATTACCTGGCAAACAGAAACAGCCATGGATCTAGCTCGATCCAGAGGCGAGGAATAAACCGAAGTAAACCTCACACCCTGAGATTTAAAGAAAACAGCAAGAGCCCTAGCTTGACGTTCACCATTAGCAGTGAGAGCAGCGACGTGGCATCTCCCTCCAACAAGATCAGGCCTAAGATTGAGATCACACTCACCATGGCTGATGAGATAAACCTCAGTCACGGCAACACGATCTTCGTCTCCTCCTCCGGAACCGACTCGGGAGAAGATAGGCGGAGGAGGAGGAGCGAGGACGTTGTAAGGGTCCCAGACTTTGATGGAAGGACCGATCCGTGGAGTTCCGAGAGATGATAGCTGTGGAGAAAGAGGTGAGGCTGACGCGTGGCAGGGGAGCATCTCGGGTTCTTGTTCGAGAACTCGTTTTACTAGAAGGTTGTCTATCTCTCTTGGATTCGATCTGTTGTTATCGTCATGTTCTTGTTGTTCATCATCGGTTTGGTCTTCTTCTTCTTCTTCGTCATCGTCTAAGACTTGGGTAGATTCTTGCGCTCCCATCTTCTTTTGTGAAAGAGTTTTGCAAGAAGTGAAGCTGTCTTTTTGTTTTTTTTTTTAGCTTTAGACCGATCACATCACTTATCTTGTCTGTACAACTAGTTTCAGATCTAGGAACCAAAGTAAGTCCTCTCCGTGTAAGGCACCGGGTAGAGATTTGGATCCGGTTTGAGAACTCTTAACCGGGTAGGCGAAAGGTGTGTTGAATTTGGGTTTGGTTTGGTTTGGGGTTTTTATATTTTTTGTTTGTATTTAGGTTCTAGACCTTGACAAAATATCTAGATCCAATCTGAATATAAACTGACCCTAACAAAAAATTTATGTATTATACCCAAAAGTTTTGAATATAAACATTGAATCACAATGTTAATTACGAATATCTAAATATTTAAATTGTAATTATAAATTCAAATATTTGGAATTTTTGCAAATGTCTGGAAGAAAAATAATGCAACACTATTACTATCATATTGTTTTTCCTGTCTTTGTTTTTATATAATATAATCAGATAGTCGTTTAATGAAAATAAACTTCTACATAAATGTTTTGTAATCTTAATATAATATAGAGAAGTCGTCCATAAACGCAAATAAACTTTTACATAACTGTTTTCTAATCCTATTGTGTGGTTGGAGAACTAGCAACTTTGAGGCAATGTTCCTTTAACAGTGGAATGAGAAACGGATTGAAAGGAAGATTTGGTGTGCAGTTAGCTTCCGCTTCTAAAAAAGCTTTACAACATGAAGGACCAATGTTACAAAAATTATGGGTCATTGTGGATTGAGAGATCTCTGCAACACATCCGGGGATATTCATCAATATAGACAAACATTTTGTAAAGTTGAGCCTTTGTGGCAAGCCAGTACTGGGTGGGATCGGAAACGGAAGTGGAAATTGCAATGGTTGAGCTTTTTCAGAAGCTGTAATGCATATAGGTACTAGGAGAAATAACACATTTCGGATTGACATGATGAATGTGACAAACTTTATAAAACAAGAGAAGAGAAGAGAAGAATAAGAATTCCAATATACCATTTTTATTCGATGAAGTTAAGTAACTGGTTATGAAGTTCTTTTATAATGAAAACTTTAAGAAAGTACTAATTACCTTAGCAAAATGTATTTTAAGTTACCTTTAAGACAATTTGACGTTTTTATTCTTCTGAGGAAATATAAACGGTATAAATAGTTGACTGTGTACTAATGAGTAAATTATTATGGCTAAATAATACCATAATATATACTTGCATTCTATTTCACAAGATTTATGTTTATTGATTTGAATAAATTTTAATTAAAATATTGATTCGAAATTAATTATTAAGTAATATGTTTAAGTGCAGATAAACATAAATTTAGTTACAAACGAGTTCAGAGTAAGAGGTTGATGCTTGTTCATGTCCATCCTAAGATGATAAAATTTTTAGATGCATCAAAGTGATTTGTAATGAAGTGAAATTGTTCTAGTTTTAACAAACTGTAAAGAAGATTAAACATTCAACAATACTAATTCTTCAAAATTATATAACAGCTTACACATGTTAAAGCATAATCGTATATAAGTAAGCATAATACATTGTATATATAATCTCTATTATTTAAGATCTTCTTTATGGGAGTTACTTTTACCCATGCACAAATGGGAAAAGATCTTATATTAGTAACATTCGTTTTTATTAATTTGAACTTGTATACCATTCTCTCTTTTAAAATGTTTCTTTGAAAACAGTCAAAACTGTTTATGTTGTTGCAAAGAGCTTTCGGTAATTTTTTTGATTTTTTCTTAAGACAAAGAAAGATATCCAAGTGTCAAGTCGCCGTTTTTTTTAATATTCAGTTTATTAATTTAAATATTATTCTAAAAAGTAATAGAACAATATAAAAAAAAATTCTTCTACTTCTTCTAAAACTGCTAAAAGATTTAAGAAAACTACAAAACGGAATAATGTTTTTTGATATAAAAGTTATCTAATTAAAAATAAATTAGTTAACAAAATTAAATAATATAAGAAATCCTAAAACTGTTTTAGTTAACTTTCATTTTAAAATTTGTGATGGACATAAGTGAAGTACATTTAATAATTTCTCCAGATTAAGCTTTAATTCAGTTATAAACATTTTGAGGAACATATTTTCATAAGGAACTACAACAGAAATGACTATGTTGTCTTATAGTAATTAGAATAAGAATAAAAGTTGAAACTTTGAAGAATACTATGATAAAATAATTTGATTCATTAGAGAGATAAAAAATGATATGTGTTGGACCATGTAATGTTTAGACATGTCTTTGAAGTGTTTAAATCCTTGAATTTTTGTAAATGTCTGTAAGAAAAATAATGCAACACTATTACTATCATATTGTTTTTCCTGTCTTTGTTTATATATAATATAATCAGATAGTCGTTTAATGAAATAAAACTTCTACATAAATGTTTTGTAATCTTAATATAATATAGATAAATAGTCCATAAACGAAAATAAAATTTTACATAACTATTTTCTAATCCTACTGTGTGGTTGGAGAACTAGCAACTCTGGAGCAATGTTCCTTTAACAGTGGAATGAAAAACGGATTGAAAGGAAGATTTGGTGTGCAGTTAGCTTCCGCTTCTAAAAAAGCTTTACAACATGCAGGACCAATGTTACCAAAATTATGGGTCATTGTGGATTGAGAGATCTCTCCAACACATCCGGGAATATTCATCAATGTAGACAAACATTTTGTAAAGTCGGGCCTTTGTGGCAAGCCGGTACTGGGTGGGATCGGAAACGGAAGTGGAAATTGCGGTAGTTGAGCATTTCCAGAAGCTGTAATGCATATAGCTACTAGGAGAAATAACACATTTCGGATTGACATGATGAATATGACAAATTTTATAAAACAAGAGAAGAGAAGAATAAGAATTCTAATATACGATTTTTATTTGATGAAGTTAAGTAATTGGTTGTGAAATTCTTTTATAATGAAAACTTTAAGAAAGTACTAATTACCTTAGTAAAATGTATTTTAAATTACCTTTTAGACAATTTGACGTTTTTATTCTTCTGAGGAAATATAAACGGTATAAATAGTTGACTGTGTATTAATGAGTAAGTTATTATGGCTAAATAATACCATAATATATACTTGCATTCTATTTCACAAGATCTCTATTTATTGATTTGAATAAATTTTAATTAAAATATTGATCCAAAATTAATTATTAAGTAATATATTTAAGTGCAGATAAACATAAATTTAGTTACAAACGAGTTCAGAGTAAGAGGTTGATGCTTGTTCATGTCCATCCTAAGATGATAAAATTGCTTAGATGCATCAAAGTTATTTGTAATGAAGTGAAATTGTTCTAGTTTTAACAAACTGTAAAGAAGATTAAACATACAACAATACTAATTCTTCAAAACTATATAACAGCTTACACATGTTAAAACATAATCGCATATAAGTTAGCATAATACATTGTATATATACTCTCTATTATTTAAGATCTTCTTTACATGAGTTACTTTTACCCATGCAAAAATGGAAAAGATCTTATATTAGTAACATTCGTTTTTATTAAGTTGTACTTGTACATTATTCTCTCTTTTAAAATGTTTCTTTGAAAACAATCAAAACTGTTTATGTTGTTCGCAAAGAGCTTTCGGTAATTTTTTGATTTTTTCATAAGACAACGAAAGATATCAAAGTGTCAAGTCGCCGTTTTTTTAATATTCAGTTTATTAGTTTAAATATTATTCTAAAAAGTATTAAAACAATATTAGAAAAAAAACTTATTCTACTTCTTCAAAAACTGTTAAAAGATTTAAGAAAACTCCAAAACAGAATTATGATTTTTCGATTTAAAAGTTATCTAGTTAAAAATAAATTAGTTAACAAAATTAAATAATATAATCAATCCAGAAATTATTTTAGTTAACTTTCATGTTAAAATTTGTGACGGACATAAGTGAAGTACATTTAATAATTTATCTCTAGATTAAGCTTTCACTCAGTTATAAACATTTTGAGGAACATATTTTCATAAGGAACTACAACAGAAATGACTATGTTGTCTTATAGTAATTAGAATAAGAATAAGAGTTGAAACTTTGAAGAACACTGTGATAAAATAATTTGATTCATTAGATAGATAAAAAAAATGATATGTGTTAGACCATGTAATGTTTAGACATGTCTTTGAAGTGTTTATATTCAGTAAAACAAGTCAACCAATTTTTTCGATACTTTAAATTTAATATTGAAAATTTTGTGAATAAGATTAAATCCTTGAATTTTTGTAAATGTCTGTAAGAAAAATAATGCAACACTATTACTATCATATTATTTTTCCTGTCTTTGTTTATATATAATATAATCAGATAGTCGTTTGATGAAAATAAACTTCTACATAAATGTTTTGTAATCTTAATGTAATATAGAGAAATAGTCCATAAACGCAAATAAACTTTTACATAACTATTTTCTAACCCTACTGTGTGGTTGGAGAACTAGCAACTCTGGAGCAATGTTCCTTTAACAGTGGAATGAGAAACGGATTGAAAGGAAGATTTGGTGTGCAGTTAGCTTCCGCTTCTAAAAAAGCTTTACAACATGCAGGACCAATGTTACCAAAATTATGGGTCATTGTGGATTGAGAGATCTCTGCAACACATCCGGGAATATTCATCAATGTGGACAAACATTTTGTAAAGTCGGGCCTTTGTGGCAAGCCAGTACTGGGTGGGATCGGAAACGGAAATTGCGGTAGTTGAGCATTTCCAGAAGCTGTAATGCATATAGCTACTAGGAGAAATAACACATTTCGGATTGACATGATGAATATGACAAATTTTATAAAACAAGAGAAGAGAAGAATAAGAATTCCATTATACGATTTTTATTTGATTATGTTAAGTAATTGGTTGTGAATTTCTTTTATAATAAAAACTTTAAGAAATTACTAATTACCTTAGCAAAATGTATTTTAAATTACCTTTTAGACAATTTGACGTTTTTATTCTTCTGAGGAAATATAAACGGTATAAATAGTTGACTGAGTATTAATGAGTAAGTTATTATGGCTAAATAATACCATAATATATACTTNTCTTCTGAGGAAATATAAACGGTATAAATAGTTGACTGAGTATTAATGAGTAAGTTATTATGGCTAAATAATACCATAATATATACTTGCATTCTATTTCACAAGATCTCTATTTATTGATTTGAATAAAGTTTAATTAAAATATTGACCCGAAATTAATTATTAAGTAATATATTTAAGTGCAGATAAACATAAATTTGGTTACAAACGAGTTCAGAGTAAGAGGTTGATGCTTGTTCATGTCCATCCTAAGATTATAAAATTGCTTAGATGCATAAAAGTTATTTGTAAAGGAGTGAAATTGTTCTAGTTTTAACAAACTGTAAAGAAGATTAAACATACAAAAATAATAACTCTTCAAAACTATATAACAGCTTACACATGTTAAAACATAATCGTATATAAGTTAGCATAATATATTATTTAAGATCTTCTTTACAGGAGTTACTTTTACCCATGCACAAATGGGAAAAGATCTTATATTAGTAACATTCGTTTTTATTAAGTTGTACTTGTACATTATTCTCTCTTTTAAAATGTTTTTTTTTGAAAATAATCAAAACAGTTTATGCTGTTCGCAAAGAGCTTTCGGTAATTTTTTGATTTTTGCGTAAGACAATGAAAGATATCCAAGTGTCAAGTCGGCATTTTTTTAATATTCAGTTTATTAGTTTAAATATTATTCTAAAAAGTATTAAAACAATATTAAAAAAAAACTTATTCTACTTCTTCAAAAACTGTTAAAAGATTTAAGAAAACTCCAAAACAGAATTATGATTTTTCGATAAAAAAGTTATCTAGTTAAAAATAAATTAGTTAACAAAATTAAATAATATAATCAATCCAGAAATTATTTTAGTTAACTTTCATGTTAAAATTTGTGACGGACATAAGTGAAGTACATTTAATAATTTCTCTCTAGATTAATCTTTCACTCAGTTATAAACATTTTGAGGAACATATTTTCATAAGGAACTACAACAGAAATGACTATGTTGTCTTATAGTAATTACAATAAGAATAAGAGTTGAAACTTTGAAGAACACTGTGATAAAATAATTTGATTCATTAGATAGATAAAAAATGATATGTGTTGGACCATATAATGTTTATACATGTCTTTGAAGTGTTTATATTCAGTAAAAAAGTCAACCAATTTTTTCGATACTTTAAATTTAATATTGAAAATTTCGTGAATAAGATTAAATCCTTGAATTTTTGTAAATATCTGTAAGAAAAATAATGCAACACTATTACTATCATATTGTTTTTCCTGTCTTTGTTTATATATAATATAATCAGATAGTCGTTTAATGAAAATAAACTTCTACATAAATGTTTTGTAATCTTAATGTAATATAGAGAAATAGTCCATAAACACAAATAAACTTTTACATAAATATTTTCTAATCCTACTGTGTGGTTGGAGAACTAGCAACTCTGGAGCAATGTTCCTTTAACAGTGGAATGAGAAACGGATTGAAAGGAAGATTTGGTGTGCAGTTAGCTTCCGCTTCTAAAAAAGCTTTACAACATGCAGGACCAATGTTACCAAAATTATGGGTCATTGTGGATTGAGAGATCTCTGCAACACATCCG